AATGAATGTTGTTCAAAAGAAGTGGGCAAGTGTTTATGAAGATTGTGAGTATTTAGGATTGGGGAAGTTTTAAGAATCATTAGACACAAATGTATGCATTGAGGTTTCAATGTAATGGCTGGGTTCAAGTTGGATTGTCTTAAACAATGTTGGTGATGAAGGTTTTGATATGATGACATGCTAAAGTTAGTTTTGCTTGAGGACAAGCAAAGTTCAAGTGTGGGGTATTTTGATATCGCAATAATTATACATATATTTCGAGCGATATTTATGTATTTTTAGCTATATTTTGGTATGATTTAAGATAAAAGGTACTTATAAAGTTTGAAATTCCATTTTACAGCTAAAATTCATTTCTGAGGAAAAAGGAGAAGAAAACATGCAAAAATCCGCAAAAAGAAGTGAAAGAAATTACACGAAGAAAAACGAGATCAAAAAGTCAAAGAATTTTAAAGATAGCCGCGTTGGAAAGACGAGAAAACAAAATAAAAAAAAAGAATTTAAATTAATTAATGAGGTTTAATTAAAATAAATTATTGGGAATTAATTATTTAATTTCTAAATAATTTATATTAATTAAATTAATTTAATTTAATTTAAATTGGAAAAAGAAAAATATATATATATATATATATATATAGAAAAGAAACAAAATTCGGAGCCCAAAAACCCGGAGCCCAAACCAGGAGCCCAAACCCGCAGCCCTGATCCATTCTCGCGACCCAGATCCAGAAAACCCGAACCGAATCCGACCCGTCCGCCCCGCGTCCATTTTCCCTCACAGAAAGATCCGATGTTACCGACCCGACCCCGATCCGACCCGGGTTTAGGATCCGCGCTTTTTTCCGATTATGACGTCATCGACGACGTCACTCGGATCCGATCCATGTCCGGCTTCGACCCAGCTCCGACCTGACTCTGATTCGTTTCCTCTCACATAAAGTCCGCGTGTCGACCCGTTCCGACCCGGTTTCCGACCCAGAATTCGATCCGGTACTGTTCAATAGCTAAACGACGTCGTTTTATGCTCCAGATTTGCCAATTCTGATTCCATTCCATTTTTAACCATTTTTCTCCACTTTTTCCTATTTTAAACTCATTCCTTTCCAACCAATACTCAATAATTCACCACCTTTAAACTTTCCAACCTTTTATTCCCATCTTTTTATTTCTTTTGAATTCTTTTTCATTAGATCCAATCTCAATTTATTTCTTTTTGGTATTTAATTTTCCAAATTTTTACTATAAATACCACCATTTTTCACCACAAAAAAAGAGAAGAGATAAAATCATACACTTTGATACACAAATTTCTCCATACAATTTCTTACCATATCACCACTATACCAAATTCCACCAAACCTTTGAACCATAATTGGGGATTTAAGAGTCAAAAAGCTAAGGAATTGAAGATTGCAGTGGCATTAGGGACTACATCGGGTTTGTTTTATCGACATGTTTAACATTCTCAATATGTTTTCTATGTATGTTGTAACCTTAATTATGAGCTAAATTCTCTTTGCTTTCACTTGGATAATGAAACCTTGAAAATATGATTTGATTTATATTATTCGGATATTAATTGTTATTTATTTTATCATGCATATTTGATCATTTATTTGTATATGTTAAGTTTTTGTAATTAATTTTCCCATAACTAAGTTAATATTTTTAAAAGATCACTTTAATTATATTATCTTGAATCATAAATTTTTCATAACCATTGATATTTATGACTAGTAAAGGACAATATTCTAGGAATTGGGCAAAATAAAATACTAAAAATTTAACATGTATATTTTATATCGTACGACCAACTTACGATTCCTATTTGTTTTACTACCACTAAAATGAATAGTTTGATCAAATGTTTGCATGATACGAATTAATTATTGTTAATAAAATTGTTAATTGCATGACAATTGTTTTTAATTAATTTTATTATCAAAACGGTAAAAAAATTTAGATCATGATTTTTAACCAATTTTAGAAATCGGTAAATAACTAATAATATCCATTGCACTTAATATAAATCATTCATTACTAAAAGGTGGAATTAAATCTAAGTGAAAGCATCCTTATCATTCTTGATTCTTAAAAACCAATTCTTGTTCTATATTTATTTTTACACTTTAATCGTTAAAATTCTCATTATTTGTCTTATTACTAAAAATTCCCCCAAGTTACTTATCTTTTAAGTTAATTAGCGACAAATAGTCTAAACGTAAATCATACTCGTTTCCCCAAGTGTTCGACATCCGTTCTTACCATTGCTATATTACAACTCAATTAGGTACACTTGCCTAAGTCGTGTAGTAAATTCTAGCATCGGTAATTTCAACCCTATAAATTTAAGACTAGATAAATTTCACATCAAGTTTAAGACTAGAGTGAATTTTTACACATCAAGTTTTTGGCGCCGTTGCCGGGGATAGATAGTGAATTTTTACACATCAATGTGCAATTTTATGGATTAGCATACTAATTCACAATTTACTAAAGTAACTAGATTTGGGATTTAAAAGGTTCTAGTACTTTTAATAGCATAATACTTTTAATGAGAGTTAGTGTCCTATCAAATTCGTTCGGCTAGCAACCCTCCACCATACAAGAGAGTGGTGGGTAAGAATGAATACCCAATAGCGGTCATTTTATAGGCCGCTTCCTTAAACTTCCCTTATAGTATGGCTACGTGAATGAGGCGTACTAGCGATTTGACTGACTTAGTCTTATACATATAGTAATAATTAAACTATTAGATTTACATATAGTATAAGGTGTATTTTAAAACTTTTTAAAATACTAGGTTCATAATTTAAATTTCGAAAATTAAAAAAACAATTAATTTAAATTTAAAAATAAACCAAATGATTTAATATTTATCCATTAATTTAAAATTAACTAATTATATTAAAGCAAATTAGGATTAACTAATTAAATTAATCAAATAATTTAATCCTAATCCTTACCCTTTAATTTTCGAAAATTAGGGTATAGGATTTATTCCAATTTTAATTATTTCTTTTTAGGCAAGTAAAATAATAATTACCAAAAAGTTGCAAACCCTAATATCCTAACCATTTTTCAAAAACTTGGGGAGGAAGGCTAGGGTTTCAAAACCCTAGCCCTAAATTCTGAAAACTTGGTGAAGGGGGCTAGGGTTTCTAAAACCCTAACCCTAGTCGAAATTCATGGCCTTTTAGGGTTTATTTCTATAAACCCTAATTGATCTATTATTCTATTATAGATATTCAAATGAGAACAAATCAAACGCTCTGATACCATTGATGAAATTTAGGTAAACAAACAAAAATAAAATCATTAAGTTTGCATGCAACCTAAATAGGATCTATGTTTCCTCTATTGAAACTATAACTAAGAACATAAAAAAACCCTAGAAACCCTAAGATATTTTCGAAAAACAGAGGAGAGGGTTTTAGGATTACATAGCTTTTAGTTGTTATAGCAAAAAACTAGAAATTCCCTTTGAAAATCTCTTGGAAGCTAGCACCACAAATGTCGTGCCTCTAATGGAATCACGCCCAAGCTAGCAAGAGGATAACTTAAGAAAAAAGAGATGAGAGAAGCTATTTTCGTCTAAGGCTTGTAGAGGGAAGGAGTGGACGAAATCAAGGGGCTAGGGGTTCCTTATGTAGTTGAAGATACTTGGGGCCAAAGCTAGGGTTTAAGGGATAAGCCCTAGATTCCTTTGCTTGGTGACCAATCAGCCCAATCCCCTTATCCAAGGGGCCTTGGACGAAATCATTTAGGCCTTACCCTAGATGATTTTCGTCCACCCCATTCCATGATGTTCTAGAGCCTTCTTTTCTCAACTATTAATAAATAACCAAACATTTCATGTACTTTTAATTAATCCAATTAATCCCAAAATTAATTTCAATTAATTTCTGATTAGTTATTAATTAAATAATATGATTTCTAATTAATATATTATTTTCATAACACATTAATAAACCATTTATTTAATTTATTATTCACATAATAAATTAATCTCTCTCTCTTTCTCTCTCTCTCTCTCTCTCTCAAAGTCATCTTGTCCAATTGCTAGATTTGAGGGCAACCCAAAAGGAATGTGCTACTATCAATTCAAGTATATACCAATTTTAGTTATGAGCTTAGACACCTAATCCAACAGTAACATGGACTTCCTGCTGGGGAGTCCGACATATTGATCGACGTCCCCATGATGACACTTCGTACCAGTCGGTGGGGATGAAAAAAGGGGCAAATGAATCTCCTTATGAACCCAAGAAAGAGATGGAGGATGCCACTGATCTTTGATGGTGGCGAGCTAGGGAAAAAGCCATAGGTTGACCTCCAAACTACTCCTGGCTTTACCCGGTCTCCGATGAATGACAATGTTATTGGAGGCACCCCCTTACACCATTGATGGCTCCCGACATTTATCTCCCCAAGAGGACCCTCACTCGTGAGTCCCTACTCTCGCAGCATTTTGCTGCGTACAAGTGGAGACGCTACGCTTTTCCTCCGGACAATATATAAGCGTTGGATCTCCTTTCTAACTCCCATATGACCAACAATATTCTATACGCGGCGGCTCAAGTTGTTCCTTACTTGGTGGCCACGGTCGGACGCCTTCGCCATGTGACCTCAAACTTGGCGGAATTGACTACCGTCAAGGCTGAGCACGACGAACTTAAGGAGAAGGTGGTGGGTTTGGAGGAGAAACGCAAGTTCGATGAGCATTATGACTTTTTGGCAGGGGAAAATCCTCTGTGGAAGATTAGGTAGCCAACTTGAACACGGATGTGGATCGTTTGTCTCGGCAGGTGGAGACTTCGGCAAGGGAGAAAGAAGTGTTGGAGAGGAAAGTGAAGAAATATGGTGAGAAATTGGTTGCAGAGGAGGCGAGCAGGAAGTTCTTGGAGGAGGATGTGGCTTGGCTCCACCAGAATGGCGTTGTTCACGTGGTGTACTAGGTTATTGAGAGCGTTGAGTTCTCATTGGGGGTACGGTAGATGAAGGCTATATGTGTGGTCGCTGGTGTGGAGGGCATTAAGCAGGTGGTGAAGGAGCAAGTACCCATCGGAAAGATCAACCATGGGGAGCCAAGTTCCGTCGTGGAGCAAACTCAAGTGATGCACGCTTCTGTGAAAGCTTTCATGGAAACCGACTTTGATTCGTATCTTCGCTTGGGTGAGCTCGATTTGGAAGGTCTTTGTCAACTATGCAGCGATCATAACGCTGAAGGGAACCAACCATAAGGTAGCTCCTCGAATGACGAGCCCTCATCCAATCCTCTTGGTAAATGATATTCTATTCCTCTTGGATTTTTTATGTTTAAAAGACATTGTTTGAACAATATTTGGTCTGATTTATGGCCCTGCATGTCCTTGTTTAAGTCTGGGACATGTCCGACAGACAATATGTTTTGTTTATCGCTATGGTATGGTTACTTCTGTTTAAAGCTTGCTTTCTCTACTCCTAGATGGTTCATGTAGGCCATTCTGGGTTTGAATTCTTCTCAAAGGTTAATGTTAGCCTTTGTGGTAATATTTGTTGTAGTTTTTTCCACTGGGGGAAATTTCTTTCCAAAGGTTCGTGTTGGCCTTATGAATTGATTAAGTGTGTCCTGCTTGCTTGGCAAGTTTTTAGGATTCAAAGAATACTCTCTTTTGGTTGATGAAAGTTGTTTATTCTTAGTCATAATATTTTGGCTTTGGCCCGAGAGTTCGCTCTAGGAAACTCGGGTCTTGTCCTTCTTTTGAGTCATTGGTTTGTGTTTTTAGGTCAACTTTGGCTATCCTTTTCACATGAACCTTAACTGGTTCACTTTCTGTTAGGGTATTTCCTTTTGAGTAAGGCTTTACAGTTACCCTTCAATATTTTGTTCTAATTCCTGAGCTAAAGAGAGTTGCACTCCGGTCCTATTCGTCTAAGTTAAGTCAAGATCGTCACCTCGAGGCGCTTGGGACATAAGTATTATTTTTTATATCAAGTAAAAGGTTATGAGCCTTTAAAGCCTTAGTTCATGTCGTGGGATAAGATAATAGTCCTTTGAGTTAGATTGACATGTTTTAGGGAAAGGTTATTAGCCTTTAAAGCCTATTCATTGCGTCCTTGCATCGATTTTGCTCAAGTGACGTGGATGATCGGTCCTTGTTATCACTTGGTAAATGTGCATAACCTCTTATTGAAATTATATCAAGCTTGAATATTAATAAACATATGGGTTTTTTTAAAAGTAATCAATTTTCATCATTCTATTGATAATGCTTTGGAGATATCAACATTGTTTAATGAGGATAAAAACGACTAAGTTTTGGCTCGAGGATGGACCTAAAACTAGAGCTAATTGATGGGGTTTGATTATCCACTTGGAGTTAGATCACATTGCCTTTGACCTTGGCGTGCCTTACTCTGCCTTTCTCCTTGCTCTAGGAGTAAAAGTGGCATACATTGTATGTGTTCCAGGTTTGGGGTATGGGCCTCTCGTCTTGTGTTTCCAAGATATAAGTTACGTTTTGATGTGTCTCTACTATCTTGTACAGGCCTTCCCAGATGACACTTAGATTTCCATGAGGTTGTGCATGACTGGACTCGTTCTTCCCCGACACCTATTCTCCTACCTTGAAGTTCTTCACCCGCACGCGCCTATTGTAGTAATTCTTGGTGTGAGCTTTGTAGGCAGCTTGGAGGAACTGGGTGGCTTTTCGTTTTTTGTCAAGCATGTCTAAGTCCTGACGTTGCCTAGCTTCATTGGCATTTGCGTCGAAGTCTGTCACTCATAGCGATCCAGCCAGAAGCTCAGGTTGGAGCACTGCCTCTATGTTGTACATCAAGCTATACTAGACATTGAGGTCGTGCGATATGACCAAAGTACCATGGGCAATTCTTCTACCCAACCCTCCTTAGACCTCATCAAGAGTTTTTGTATATTTGTAACATCCCAAGATTTTGCAGGTATTTCTGAATCCTCTCTTCTATTATTATTTTGTCATTGTAGTCCTTGGGGGTTAAAAGAGTCGACCCATGAGAAGTCTAAGGGCTAAAGTTGTGTAACACCCTGTTCTGAAAATGTTTGTGTATGGATTTCAGAGGCCAAGGCTAGGGGCGTTTTGGTCTTTTATGGGTCTTGAGTTTTTATTCGAGAGGTTTTGGGCTGGGGTGTGTCGCTAGAACCATAGGGCTTCTCGCCACCTTTTCGTGGATATAAAGTTCGTCGGAAACGGACTTGGAATGAAGGAGTTATGACACTTTGAAGTTATTGGCAGAAATAGCCCCTAATGGAAATAAATGGCAAGGAGGGACCATGCATGCAAGGTGGTAAGCGCGCGAGTACGCCCAGCGTAAGGCTGGGTTACACCCAGCGTATAAGGTCATAAGGTCGCGGGTGTTTTTGGCGTACGCCCAGCGTACGTCTAGTGTCCAAAAACCCTAACTTTTAGGGTGGTCCACTATATAAAGAACATAATGGCTCAATCCCTAGCCTCCTTATCTATCCCCCAACCTCAGAGAAACCCTAGAGCGCCTCATATCTTCATCCTTGGGTGATTTTGTTTTCAAGAAGCTCATTTTGGTGGTGTAAGTTTGGAAGAATAAAAGAGGAAGTTGGGAAGGAAGAACTTGGGAAGTTGGAGCTCATAGATCTGGAATAGCATCATCATTTGGGACTCCTTGGAGGTATAAAGTTCATAACTTTACTTAAGAATGCTTAGATCTAGTGTAGGGTGGTTTTGGAGTCATTTTGGTCCCAAGAATGGACCTTTATGATGAAATCTCGTTTGTGAGCTTAGGGTTGCCACCCTCAGGGCTAAATGGGTCCTATAAGCAGTAAAGTCTCCATCTTGAATGTCTTAATGGGTTCATGCATGAGATCTAGCCCTCTTTATGGAAATGGAATATCATTTTTGGGAGTTTGGGCTTGTTTGGGTCATGTGAAATCACCAAGTTAGTGACTTTATAGTTTAAGACGTGGAAAAGGACCATGATCTGTAATTGTAGCTTCTGAAGTGGAGTATTAAGCAATTAAGGAGAAAAGGGCTTAACAGGGGGGAGTACGTTGAGCGTGCATGCAGGTACGCCCAACGTACACACCATTGGCTAGTACGCTTAGCGTACGTGAATGTACGCCCCGCGTACTCTATCAGTTTGGGCTTTGCATTTTTGGGCCTCGGTTTGGGCCATGCTTTGGGTTCTTGGGCCTTTGTGGGCCATCAGAAGTCAGCTAATATGGTCCAAGGAAATGTTTGGGCTTAGGGTAAGGCCCATTAAAGGGATTGGGCCAATTTAGCAAATTGGCCCATTAGTGGACCACTAGTGGGCTTGGGAAGCTCACCTAGTGTTGGGCCTTTTTTATTATGGTGTGGGCCTTAGATATGGACCAAGTTGGCCTAGGGGTAGAATGGTCATCTTACCCTAAGGAGGATTATTGTATTGGACTAAGTGATGTTTGGTATTGGTAGTTCGGGAAGCCGAAGGGTCAACAGTTCGGGAATTGCCGGTCAGTAGCCAGAGGGGTATCAGCAGTGCGAGGTGAGTCTCCTCACTGTGTGCATGGGTCTATGGCCACAATGCCGGCCCATTATGTTTGTGTATAGTAGGAAGACCCGGGGGTTAGACCTAGGCATTATTATGATATATGTTCCGGATTACGATCCGATGTCGGGGGAGGCCCGAGGTATGTTAGTATGCTAGTTATACTTGTTGTCTGTGTGGTACTTGTATGTTCCTGGTAGGGAGGTCAGTGTGGGCGAGGTCCCACATCTCAACACTATGTGAGTATGGACGGGGTTCCGTATCTCATTAGTAGCAGAGCAGGGGCGAGGCCCAAGTTAGGAGGGAGGTGAGTGTGGGCGGGGGCCCGTATCTCACTATCAACAGGGCTGTGGACGGGGTTCCATGACTCATCAGCAACAGGACAGGGGCGAGGCCCAAGTCAGGCGAGGCCTTAGATCAGGAGTATAGTAGAGTATGTTTAGCTATTTGTTATGTGTTATGTTATATGTTTGTATGTGTTTAGCGGGCGAGGCCCAGAGACAGGCGGGGCCTAAAAGAAACAGATCTGTATACCGAGCGGGGCTCGATGGCAGGCGGGGGCTGATGTCGGGCGGGGCCCGATGCCGGAGCTAGTCCGATGCCGGGCAAGTCCCGATGTAGCGGGCGGGGGCCAAGTATGTGGTTATGTATGTGGTATGTGGTAGGTTGGGGAACTCACTAAGCTTCGTGCTTACGGTTTTCAGTTTTGGTTTCAGGTACTTCCGGCAGCGGAGGGAAGAGCTCGCGGTGATCGCATGGCACACACCAATAAGTTTTTAGCCTGGGATGTTTACTCTAATAAAATAAATATGTTTAAAATGATACTTGATTTCATATAAGGATTTATGTATGACTTGATTATGGTTGATTAATGATTTTAAAACAAAATATTTGGTCATGATTTTTGGGACGTTACAAATTGGTATCAGAGCCTTGGTTTGAGGGATTCGGGCACGCTCTCGGGTATGTCTGAACTCAAACTGAGGACTTGGTATGAAGGCTTTCAAAAGAAAATCATTTTTTTACAAAAGAATTTTGAGAAAAGGAAAAGCATCTGAAAAGACAAGGAATTTTGAAAAAGAGAAAAGGGTGTGGTGCATGCAATCAGCCGAGCTCAAGTAAGTTCTCCCAAATTACCCATACAAGTTTATGTTATGATATGATTATGTGATCAGCATGCTAGTTTAAGGCTAAGGATCTAGGAAGGATGCCTTGTATGCTTGTTATATGCGTTTATTGAGTTGCATGCTAGTATTGATTGGTCAGTGGTAGGATAACCTGTTTAGGTTATGCCTGATTATATGAGCTTAGAATCGTATGCTAGTGCAGATTCTTGATATGTGAATACAATTGCTTGATTATGTGTGGGTTAGATCTTCCATTTGTCTGAATGTTGCTTGCTTTGTGCTTTGTGGGACTCTGAGTGATGGGAGTTAGCTACTAGGTGAATACGTTAAGTCACATGTGGCCAGGGTTGAATAATCTCAGAGTGCTGGATTTGACCCTATTACACAGCTCTTGTCTGAGTCTAACCGTTGTAGGGATGAGTCCTCTACTTGAAGGATTATCTGAGCCTCGACACATGTGATGGTATTCAGGTAGCGGCTAATTGGCATTACGAGGAGACCTTCAGCAGCTGAGGACTTGTTTGGGGTCGAAGAATTCCCTAGGGTAGGCCTAGGATGAGTTAGTGCTGGGAGCAGAGGTAATAGTGAAAGGGACTTGGTGGAGTCGAGGCAACTCTTGAGAAAAGTACGGATAGATGTGGAAGGTAGTATGGGCCCGTACTACTGGAAGCAGAGGATCCGTACTCAATTCAAGAGGGGCCGAGATAAAACCAGGGAACTTGTAGTGCGTGTGTGATCCCTCGGTAGTGATGTGTATTCTTATGGTTGTTATGGCATGTTTTCAGCATGGTGACATTGCGTGAAAGACCAGTGGGCGGATCAGGCGCCAGAGAGGGATCAGGCTCGGGTTCAGGAGGCTAGCAGCTCGAGGAGCGGATGAAGGAGTTTATTTCAGTTGAGGTTACGCGCAATATTCTAGACCAGACTCCTGTGAACTTTGGTTCGGTCAAGGAGGG